ATAGTTTCTGTTAATAAACGCTCTAAGTTATTACGCTGGTTTGTTGCTACCATGTATGTATAAATGTTGGGCTATGGGGGCCAAAATTTTGGGATAAATTTTAGGCTGTAAAAAATGTACACTAATAAATTTATAAAGCAATTTTTATTAAAAGAAACTGTACTTTTTTATAGCAAAATTCTTTATGCCTGATCAGTGCATTAAAACAAAAACTTCAATTTCTGTTGTGCTTTTGGCTAAAAGCAACTTTCTTTGTAGCACAAAAAAAAAATTTGCCTTATTTGAAATGCTCCGTACATCTATCACCATAATTATGATAAAGTGTTAAAAAAAAGGAAAAGGAAAATATTTTAGTAGGGCTTACATTGTCAAGTGCCTGTTCAAATTTTTTTTTACTCATTCTCACATCATAAAACATTTGTCTTACGCACAGTATATACATTGTTCTCTCTTTCTCGGTACCTTGAATTTGAATGTACCGAAAAAGATAATCGAGCTAATCCAAGTTGTCGAAAACATTTTAAACTTTACATAAGTATTGTAATTATGCACTAGGTGTATTTAATTATGGCAAAGCACACGAGGGCTATCTGCCTAAAAAGGGAGGGATGCCTTTCGTGGAGGACTTTCTAAGGGAAACTGGCTCGTATACACGTTACACACGGGGAAAACCACGAAAACGCCCATGCAGCCAGCCCGTTCGCGGGATTCGAACCTCAGACCGAACTACCAGTGTTCAGCGTCTTTACCGCTCGGCCGCTGGTGGGCCGTAATTATGCACTAAATTTAACATATAATATTATTACACGAATGCTTCAAGTACTAGAGCTTAATGCATCGAATTATTACCTACGAATTCAATACATATTGTAATAATAAAAATAAGAACAGGGAAGCATGATAAAAATTATGTAAATTTGACTGTTTATTATTTATAACCGATAATGAAAGTCTCGTGTCGGAAAATTTGATAGAAAAATATACGATACATTTCCATTATAGTGGATCATTCTGAAAATAAGGAGAAGATAACCCTAAATGCATTTGATGCTGATAAAACAAATGTACCGGTAGGTCATCTCTTCCATAAAACCTTTAGAAAAAAATGCTACAGGCATAACAAATTTTGGTTAGCTTTGCTTTGTTTTTGGATGTCACGCTCTGAACTCCGACATCTATTCTGTATTATCACGCACCATCAGAAAGGGATTTAGAGGTTCGCTTAGAAGCTTATTAATTATTCCTTAAGTTTCGATGGCAAACTTCCGTGACTGCATGAAAACCAACAGTACTCTTTATCTATTTTGACTTCATTCGAAGCCGTACGTCCATTATTTTAGTTCGGCTGTTCATGGAAGAAAGCTCTTTGCAGTATGGATGTACGTAGTCTGAAAAAAGGGCGTCTTGTCGAACCCTACATATTTTAATTTGTCGTGTTCATTAATCAGAACTGTTCAAAGTTTAATAGCTTTATCAATTCTCTACATTTCTTTTCAAGGTGCAAGAAATACCCGCTTAATACGAATTCGATATGCGACATAATCGGTTGATGCGACTGAGGAAAATGATATTTTTCCCGCTTCATACCAAATAATTATCAAGTAACCCTAATTTTTAAGTCAGTATTTTTGTTCCCAATCTATTTTGAAATCGACAATATTCTTAAAACAGATAGAAAACGAGATTGTTACTTTGAAAAACATCATTGAGAAGCGACATTCGTAAAATACAAGTCAGATTTCAATTACAATGTCCATTTAAATGAGTCTAGTTTTAGCGTTTAATACATTTTATTAGTAAAATTTGTTAAGCGTCACATAAGAAATTAAAATTCTATTTAATTCTTAATTTTTAATTTATGCAAATAACGTTACGAGTTGGCAATATGACAATACTGAAGGCCTGCCAGTGTTTTCAAAAACAGAACTGAACTGAATTCCGTAAGATTCTGTGAATAAGATGCCTTTTTTGAAAAACATTACGCTGATCAATGCTTTTCATGATAAGATGTGACCTTTCATCTATATTGAAATCACCTAATTAATGTAATTTTTTTAAATCTGAGCATTTTGAAATAAATTAAAAGGCATTCCCATCTTATTTCTAATAATGTAGGCATTTCTGCTCTATTCTCTGACAAAACCATGGAGGTAGGAAGTAAAATGGAGTAGCCCTAAACAAGTTTCTCCCGTACCCTGCTCTGAAGCACCGGCGATCCCTTTAAACAACATTTCCTTCTGAACGGAATTAAATGCTGTACTTTTCACTTAATTACATTAGGAAAAAAAATTAAGGTAATTCGATTTTATTCGGTTAAGGTACAAAAATTAAGATCAAAGTTTATTGTATTATTAATATTAAAATTATGCATTATTTCTTTTCTATTTATAGAGCTTCTTTTTAAAATACTTTCTTAAATATGACAGGATTTTTTGGCTTCTGAGGCATCTTTTAAATCGAAAAATGTAAGTCAATTTATAATTAATGCTCCTTTTCGGTTCATTTTAAATTAGAGATTAGCGAAATACTTTAAATAGTACTTGACTTTCTCTGAACATTTCTGAAAGGGAATAAAATAACTTTTTTTTAAGTATTATTTAAAACTTGTAACTGAGTTATTATAAAATGTAAGGGGAATAATTCTTTTAATTATACTTATCAGATTTTTTTTACCCTTCATTTCAACAATACATATTCCAAAACTCTTTATTACATTCTTAAGTGCGCGGCTCATAGCATTTGCTTTACCATACCTTTTAACAGATTGCTTTCCAATACGAACAATTCTTGCTTAAATAGTTTTATAACGTATTTGTCAACAGGATTTCAATTTATGTTTACAACCTGCGTACGTTAAGAAGCCAGCATAAAACTCGAATTTCCGAGAAAAAAGACTTGCATGGGAAACATTTAAAAATCTGGAATCAATAAAAGGACCATTCATGATCGGACGTCCTTTGGCAGGATATACAAATGTTTTCACCTCCGTCGATTACCCTATTTTCAAATTCTTAATAAGCTGTCTTGATGATGTAGCACGTTCACATGGTCACATCATCTTGACCGCACATGGTACTTCCGCCAAATTCGCAAATGTATCCCTCTTCTGTTCCACATATTTGTCTAAAACTGTACATAATTTTACACAAATATGTGATTCCAAATCAAGGGAAAGCTAACTTGTTGGCATATCTGTGTGTATATGTATATTTATTAATTTTGAAGAGGATTGCAGCATTTGATGGTAATTTTATTTTTAATTAACCCAAATAAGTAAAACGTGTAAACCCAAAGTGATTATTTTTCAGATATATAAAATTAAAACGATGGGTTTAAAATGAGCAGCAGTAAAGCCTCTCCTCTAAAAGATTTTAAAAGGTACATGTTACAATAATATATGGATGTGAAAAAAATTTGTTTTATTTAAAACATTTTAGCGTTTGGAAAATAAAATAAAAGTAGCGAATACTCTATCAAGGGTATCGAAAGACGTATACAATTTTAAATGTTCCGTAAGGTATTTTTCATTCTTTAAGCATGACATTTTTCTTAAAACCTATATTTTTGTAGTGCAACAGCTTAGAATTTTATAAAACAAATTCATAATCAAAATCGCTGTTGTTAGTTATCGAAAAATAACCAAGATGTGATTTTTGCGTAAATGTCACTAAACTATACAAATTGCTATTATCCATCACACTATGAATGTTTCTTTCATGCGAAAGTGTCCCTTTTTCGCTTTATATGGACTGTCGTGTGTCGAAATACTATCAGAATCCTGTCAAGCGATTTTCTGAATGTAAACAAAGAACACCCCATCTGGTGACCCAAGCTTCAAAGCAGTGCTTCACTTCTAGCGCCGTTTGGCCCCTCCTCCCTTTCCTACCTCCATGGACAAAACTATCATGAAAACTCTCAGATCCTCACACTACATGTTATATAAAATAACTTGGTCTGTGCATGCCAGAAATGAAAAGTTATACATCTTCTTTCATGTTAATTCGCTAAAACATTCATTTTGGCAATTCATGCTATTTTCCATGCATACAATCTCTTTCGAACATGAATTTTTCTTAGTTTTAAACTTACTTTTGTTATTTAATTCTTAACATACTTTGCTTGATGATATAATCAAGTTACAGCTACACAGTACATTTTAGACAATTTATCTTTAATTGTTAATGGCGCTCAATATCTTAATTCTTTTGGTATGATATAAATATTGTATTATACACTTCTGTAGGAAATATTCCATCAGAAGATACTATTTCTGTCAAGTCGATGAAACACTTTCTTTCTTTTAATTTCATTAAACTTAATGATTTCTTAGGAAAAAAAATGATTTTAGGTTAACTGTAAAAAAAGTGAAAGTAGAGATATTTTGCCGAAGATATAATTAGGAATAGGTAAATAATGTAATCCAGAACAAAGAAAATTAAGATGAAAAGCCATCTATTGAAGACTCAACTAACACACTTTGAAAACTTTCGCTTCTTTTATATGTTTATTTCATAAAGCTGTACTTTCTTCGTAAAACTTAACTGAACTTCATAATCCATTATTCTCATATTCAGTGAGTCTGATTGCAAGATAACATGTGCGTATATGCGTGAATTACATTCATTAATAAAACGGTATTTTCGACATAATATTCAACTACGTGAGTTTCACCTTTTCTCCTCTTCTTTTTTTCATCTGAATAGTATCAATGCAGCAATTAGATACTAGTCCTCAAAAGCAAGTGTATAAAAATGTGTTTATTGATTGAGGATGCGGAATTTGCACGCGATTCCCTCATCAGTAAACCCTGCGTGAAACAAGCTCTTTTCTTTATTAAGAGCTAACACTCAGTTACGTCTAAAGGGTGTTAACGGAACTCCTCTAAGAAATCACTTATTTTCAACCTATTCGGAATACTGGGATTTCCCAAAAGCAGGCTGCCAATAAAATAACGCCACTGCATTTTTATATTTCCTACTAATGTACGTCTTTGATTCCAGGTCCAGACTTCTGGGGATTGTTAAATCCTGAGTGGAGCTTCTGTACAAAAGGCCGCAGGCAATCTCCGATCGATCTTGATCCGTCAGTTCTACTGTATGACCCACACCTGAAAAGTCTAAATATCGACAAATTTAGGGTAAGTATCCACTTACATTGGAGTATCGAAATATGATGAAAAAGTACCTATTGATTCCGTACATTTGTTATTGAATTGAATTGAATTTGACTGATGGTACTGAAATTTTCTTGATCTCACATTCTTTTTGATTTTTTAAAACAAACTTTAGTCAGTGTTTTATATTTTATTTTTATACAATAAATTTTACTTTTAAAACCTATAATGCTTCTTCGTATAAAGAAAATTTTTATTGTTTCCTGTATGGTAATCAAAACTTCTGAGAAAATAAAACTGTGTATAAAATAGAAAGAGCTTGCAAACTTGCTTTATTATTTACACGCTTGTCACAAATAAGGTTAATATGCAAAACTCATTTCAATAACTATATTAGTTAGATTAAAATTTTAGCTAATATTTGCTATTATTCTTTCATTATTTCCATATGTATATATATATATTAAGTTTCGAATAGGCAGATGGCAGCATGTTCTTATAATAAAGGCAACTGAATCGCTGCTTACATTACAGAATAAATCATAAATAAAAAAAAACAAAATGTTTTATCCATAGATGCATTACGATATATTGTGTACTTTAAAATAATCGAGAAATATTTTTTAATTATTTAGGACTTAAGTTTTATACATTTTAAATCAAGCAAAAACATGCCCCTTTCTGGAAACTCTCACTTTTGCTTTTGATTCTTTCAATACGCAAAAAGTTTAAAAATTCAAGATTTCATTATCACAGTACTTTTTACACTGATGTCGTGTGCCTTTAAAAGAAACATCGGGACCGTTGTATTCTGTCAAATGCAAGATTCCTTCCGTAATATAAAGTCCTGTGGACAGTTTAGCATACAACACTGTTATTTACATTGAATAAAATTCAACATATTAATTCTGAATGGGTTAAATCTTAGAAGTATAGGTACAGGTAAAAGTATGAGGAGCAACAGTAATGTACCATAGCTCAATTGGTAATTAAACTAATAAAATCTAATAAAAATGCAAGCTTTTATAAGAGTTTATAAAGAAAGATCGAAAAAAATAAGCAACTGAAGCTTTCCAAAGGATCTAGAATTTACATATTATGGTACATCTTGAAATTTCCCCGCATCCTGTGCCTCCAGTATTTATTAAAAATAATGATTTAGGACATAAAGAGATTACAATATAGTTTCAACACAATTTGAAATCCACAAATTAAATTTAACATCTGTTTTGGTGCAACAAAAATAACAGATAAACATAATGAGATAAATATAAAAAGTAGTGAGAGCACAATGTTATAAGGAACTGTAATAATAATAATAATACTAAACTGACGTCCATGGAGTTATTACAGTTACAAAAGATTATTACAATTAATAAAAGTTTATTACAGTTTATTAAGTTGAAAAGTACGAGTAGAATCGTTTTGAATATATTCAGAGAATGTAAAAGTTCATTAAATTTATGCTATATGAGAGCTTATACTTGACAAAGGTCTAGGCAGGAGGAGAGAGTCGTTGCATAATTTTATTAACTTCGGATACTGATGTTTATCTTTAATTAGAAACCTTTGGAATGGGAGGAGATTAGTTTGTAGAGATTTTGTGGGATTTATCCTCGGCTAAGGGTAATGATCCCTGTTTCCCACATCTGCAGATATCGGAGGTCGCCATATTTCTTGCGTAGTGAATCAGTACTTGCGCCATATTTCTTGCGTGTGGGGAAAGGTCCATGTCCCTATATATTGTAACTTAATGAAGGATACAAGCATAGAGGTGCGAGGCTTTTTTTTAGAATCAAGTTATATATGTGCCTTCCCTGTGAAGCATTATTCCACAAATCTTGCCAATATTTTGACGCAAGTTTTTTAGTTTGTACTTGAAATTTGAGTGAGGCCACAAAAGGGTAATTTCATTAAAATCTTGATTAAGAGCTATCAATGTGGCTAATTCATCTGCCTGATCGCTTGCTCATTGCCAAAATGGCCATTATGTCCTTTAATCCATGAAGTTTGAATTTTGTAGTTTGGAATTAAAGAAAGAAGAGAATTTATATCAGAAATCAATGGAGAGGAAGGTAAGGGATAATGAATCGCTAAAAGAGCTGTTTGGGAGTCAGATTTTATGGTAAATTTGTTGAGATTTTTGAGAATGGCTATTTCAATCGCTGCTAGTATAGCTGACAATTCAGCTTGGAAAATCCTATTATTATTATGGAGATGACCTTCTCATTTGATGATATTTGACGGAGCAATTTGAAAATAGAATGGTTGAAGAACGTTTCCTTCAATTTTTGATCCATCAGTATATGCAGCTGGAGATCAACTACTTGAAGTTTCGTCAGGCATGAGGAATTTTATTTTTCTGAAGCGAAGTGCTGGATGAATAAGATTGGGATTATTATTTTCTTTTTCATAGGTGGATGGCAGAAAGGTTTGGTTGTAACATTCTGCAACTTGGTTAAGCTAAAGTACTTTCATGTAGAGGCTTTCCTTTTCTGCACTGACTGATAGTGGAAAAGCACCAGCTAAAATGTCGAGAGCTATATTTGAAGTTGTGTTATACGCTCGAGTTATGCAAAGAGTAAAGGGCCTTTGAACTGAATTTAAACACTTAATCTTTATCACTGTCACTAGTTGTGTCCAAATTGCGGCTCCATGATTCACCATTTTTGATATGACTCTTTTTTGACAAATCCGATGTTATATGCGGATTTAAGCCTCAGTTATATCCCTGCATGCGCCGTAGGATTTGATTGGTGATTGATGTGTGAGCTATTGATGTTGGGAGAAGTTTAATATTTTGTACTAAACTTATGAGACCTAAACATATTTAAAACGTTTTGTAATGAGGAATTTAGGATAATTTCCCTTCGATTGTTAACTGAAGGTATTTGATTGTATTCACAATCTTGATCTTTTGATTATCAATGTTTAGAGCTAAGGTTTTAGTTATGTTTTGCCCTGATTTATGGACTACAAAGACTTGAGACTTACAGCGAGATTATGCGAGATTTACAGTTTTTGAACTTTGTGAAGTATCCCTGAAATGTTTCATTGCAATTATCTTGTAAAATGTCTCTGTTACTACCGCTTGTAATAAAAGCAATATCATCTTCAAAAGCGACAATTTTTGAGTGGTTTGGCTATAGATTGGCAGTTATGTTGTGTTGAAACTGACATTTTAGAGATCTTCACTCTTGAAAGATCCTTATGGGCAGCCTCTGACTTGATTACACACAATTTCAATGTTGTTGTAAAGAATCATACTTTTCCTCTTCCTGAAACAATCTTGAATAAGTAGAAATAAATTTGAAGGCATTTAAAGGAACGCAGAGGTTGTAAAACTGTCTTAATTCTTAGAATACTGTCTTAATTCTTGGAATGTCACAAGTTTTCACCGAACAACTGGATAAGAGTACTAAACACTGGCAATCAGACCCAGATTAAAATCCAGGGAAAACGCTGGCTGATTCGGTGTTTTGTGGATTTTCCCATCTGTCATGAGAATACGGGCCAGTTTCCTTTAGAAAAGTTGTCCAAAAAGATATCTGTTCCCTTTACAGAGAAACCTAGTACGCCTTTCCTAGTCAAGTAAATACAAAATCATTCCGAAATTTTAATTAAAATACTTTTAATTCATATTTACTGTGTTTGATTACAGAGAACTCTTGCATTAGCCGTTTATTAGGGCATAATTTTTAAAACTTCATGAGCTCAACTTCTGAGAGTAGCTATTGGTCCATTCAAATAACCGCATAAAATCAGTACCCAAATTCGATTGAAAGAATTAATTCATTCCCCAAATCACAAAGTATGTGCTGAAAGTGATTGGACGTATATCGATGTACTTCTGATGGAAAAAGCATAATGAAATACCCCATCAAGAAACGTGCAAACAATTTGAAAAAAAAAAAAAGTTGTTTCATTATGTAGCAACATCTATAAATTCTTTTGTTTAGATTTTGTGCCAGGTATTGTAACAAGTAAAATATAAAAGGTTACTACGAGTATTTAATTTAATACTGCGTAACTAAAAATATAAAACTGCATGTTACAGTAATACTTAGCATTTAGACTTGAATTGTGAGCATAAATGGATACTGCAACGTTTTGCTTTTTAAATATCTAATATTCATTCTAAAAGTAAAAGCATTTTCTAACCTTGATTTTTTGGTGAAGAAATTCGTTTCAGTTTCTTAATATAGATCATAATTAATTAGCATCGCATTCAGAAAACTGTTTTTTGTTACTTATTATGTTGTATTTAGAGTTTTAATTGTAAATTAGGATTTAACGGTAAAATTCGTAATTGAAAGACAAGGGTATTGCATTTTGCCTAATATTAAGTATTACATCGCCTTGTTTCTTTTCCGTTTGACCACCATTAACATTTTAAAGGAGCGGGAAACTCTGTATAGTGTTTAATGCAGTCCGAAAAACTCTAGCCATTAAAATTTCTTCAATGAAACATTCAGAAACCTAACGTTCAAATATTTTTACCAGATTGACACATGTGCTTATACTTTTCATGCGATTACTGCTAACAGCCCTATTCGAGACAGTCAAAATGAAATTTCAGCGCCTCTCATTTTTATTCACGAAAGCTTTCCCGAAGTGTGACTATGATAGAGAATTAACTCATGATAGAAGCTACAGAATTTATATTATATACTGATCAAAAACTTCTTTACGGCGTTATCAGTTTTGTTTTATCTATGAGATCATTACTAAGGTCTGCTACATAAAGGAATCGAAAAATATTAGATTTGCTTTGCTACTTAGCAACAGGAGGAATGCCAACCTAATTGATTATAAAGAAACCTTAAAAAAAAAAGAAGTTTCAAAACCCGGGTTCCAAATGGCAATCACTTTTTTACCAGAAATTTCGCTGAATGATATTTTGTTGTTTTAGATAAAAAAATAACTAGTTTCAAACATTATTTGCCATATCTATATGGTACATGGAAAGACTTTATGAAGTTCTCATTCCAAAATGTATCTGCGGATTACATATCTAAATGTAT